CTGTGGCTCAAGTGGTAGAGCACTAGCCTTGAGCTGAAGAGCTGAGGGACAGCACCCAGGCCCAGAGTTCAGGCCCCACGACCGGACCCCCCCCCAAAAAAAGAAAGTCACCATTTCATTTTTCATGTGCCCCAAAATATTAGCTCTAGATTTTTTTAAATACCACTTCTATGCAAACTCTAGTATATTTACAAATTTTAAATAACTTAGAAGTTCCCTGTATTGCCAATTGTAATCTTTAATATAATCCTTAATTATATTACTTTGTAATCTGTCATTTAAATTATAATGTTTTGGGCTATGAAGGGTTAAAATCCTGAGCTGGGGAATATAGCTAACTTGTACAACTACCTGCCTAACACACATAGGGGCTTTGGGTCAGCCATAGCAACACACAGAAAAGGTTCAAAGATCGCTCTAATCCTCACATGGCCATCCGACACTACACAGTGCAGACACATGTCCAGACTGGACCACAGAGCTGGGCTGGGTGAACTGGCTGTGAGCTACTCAGCTCACTCTGAGGTGGGCTGAATGTGTGTGTTTTAAAAGGTCTCCCAGTGACCCTGATAAAGGCCACAAGCACTCCTGTAAAGACTAAGTCCCATGTTTTGGTGGGGGGGGGGGGTTGGTTGGTCAGGGGGCTCAAACTAAGGCCTGACCACTGTCCCTGAGATTTTTTTGCTCAAGGCTAGCATTCTACCAGTTTGAGCCACAGTGCTATTTCCAGTTTTTTCTGAGTGGTTTATTGGAGATAAGTGTCTCAACAGACTTTCTTTCCTGGGCTGGCTTTAAACCACAATCCTCAGCTCTCAGTCTCCTGAGTAGCTAGGATGACAGGTGTGAGCCACCAGCGCCCGGCTAATGCCCATGCTTTCTGAGCTCCCTATATACACAAAGACCAGACATAGTAAAGTACCAGGAAGAACTTAGCCTATTCCATACAGTTCTAACGAAGCAAGCGCCTTCCCTCTGTGTAGTGGAATCATGAAATAAGTTTTGATCAATACCGATCTTCTTTTGCTTTATTTTTCAGAAAAATATGATTATGTAGGCAGACTTCTCAAACCAGGAGAAGAGCCTTCAGAATATACAGATGAAGAAGATACCAAGGATCACAATAAACAGGATTGAACTTTGCAAACCACCAAAGTCAGGGGCCTTCAGAACTGCAGTTCTTACTCCCTTTCACAGAATGTCCAGTGTCTCTGGATTTGATTCACCTGCTGCGAAAAAACATTCAACCAATTGTGTACAAGAGAAGTGAGTCTTGCTGTGAAGATTTGAAAACCGGATGTTATGATGCTGCCAAACCCCTTTGTTGCAGTTGTTTGTAATGTCTGGTGGGGCTTCATCATCCTGAGAGAAAGACAGGGATTTCTTAAATGGCAAGAAGGTCGTGAGGCCGGGGCAGCTCACTTCCTCCTCCTCTCCCCCTCTCCTTCTCCCTCTACCCTCTCTCCCTCTCTCATCTGCCCCTCTCTCCCTCCATTCTTGAATTTGTCCTTTTTGTAAAAAAAAAAAAAAGTATCAAAGACAGCCACATACGTATTTGCTACTCAACTGTACAAATCTCAAACAAAAAACAGCAAGGGACTCTTCTTTAACTGATGTTTTTATCATTGAGGGACAGGAAGACCTGGCCAGGGAGGTAGAAGTTGCATATCAGCTTGAGTGGTTCAGGCTACTGAAATGTTACAATGTGAATTCCCAAGCTTCTCTTTGGGCTTTGTCAAGGAGGGATAAAAAATAAAATGTATTCCTAAGAATCCATTGGAAATTAGAATGGATTTCAGGTGGATTGAAATCAAAGCAATTCCCCAACAAGATCATTTGAGACTAGTTTTATCCCTTCTGTTCTCTCCCCTAGGTCAAATCAATATTAATTGTGCCTTATTTCACTTCCATAAACTTGAATTATTTTTAGGGAAAGCCCCTACGTGAATTCCGAAGTCACTACAAGCAGGTTGAGACTGAGGTTGGAATGTTCTGTTGACTGCAAAACCTTGATGTCATTCTGTGTATATAGAATGTAAAAGGATTATTCAGTGTTAACTGCCATACGTTAATATACACAAATTTAATTAGCATTGTAATGGCCAAATGCATTCCCCTTTGTGCTTTTCTCTTTTCCAAAAAATCAAAAACAGCAACAACAAAAAAACAAAAACACCCACAAACCAACAATTCTTTTTCCCCCAACAGCTGCCTAATTCTAGGAATCTGACCCTCACATCTCACTGGTGTTGGGTGTGTGGGGCTGAGGTTTGGATGTCTGTTTGGGTGAGTCTGGATGTGTGCGCGCCTTGGAAGGGACTCGCGATATTGTAAATACAAGTACCATTTTAATAAAGCATGGACAATAAACCAAAATATGCAAAATTGTAAGGCAGTGCATTGCGATATCTTAATAAGACTGTGCATTGAATTCAAAATGAGAGGGAAAGTAGGCACTGGGTATCCAGGTTGCACACATTATACCAGGTTTGTTGTAATGTTCAGAACCTCCACTTTTGTGGGACAGTCAAGAGATCCTAGCTTACTCAGGTAAGAATTGATGTATTAAAAGTACATGTTTTTACTTTGTATTTTGATGCCAACTGGTTATACTAGAAATAATAGCAATGCAGGCAGTTATTAAACAAAACAGTAAAAGGCTATTCTACCAATAGATATTAAATTCTTCAAGAATTAGGGTGAAAACACCCTCCCAAAAGCCCTGTGTATGTTGATTACTTGATTTCATCATGACTATGGAAGTCCATGGGGAAAAGTTGTACCAAAAATAAAAATAAAAGACATGGTCACTGAAGACTTTGTCTTTGGCATAACACATGCAGAAACCATCAAAGGGAAACTTCTAAGGACAACATTCTATTCAGTCGAGCTACAGAATGGCTATGAGAAGTGCTGGTAAATGCTTTGAGTGTTTTCATGTACAACTTTTTTTTCAAAATGGTTAAGGTACATGTCCTCTGTAGAGAACTGATAATGCCTGGGTCATTTGGGCCTGAAGTTCAATAATCTGCACTTGTGAAGAGAGAAACCTTAAGTATTCGTGCAGTAAAAATGAAATACGATCTGTTAAGAAAGATGGGTTATTTTGTGTTTGGGGCTTGAAATAAACTGTGTTCTAGAGATAATTCTTTAATTCCAGTTGGATGTAGTAGTTAGTCTGAGTGAGGGACCTTAATTTTGGTTCTATGTGGACACCCTCTCCCTATCCTCTGTTTCCCACATTTGCTGTCACTTGAGGTGCTTAAAATACAGGTACTTCTTTTCTGAGTGCCGGGGTTTGAAGCCAGGCCCCATGTGTACTTGGCAGAATGTGCACTTGGCAGAAGGTGCGCGGCCGCTCGCTTGGGTCACCAGTAGGGAAGGAAGGACTCCCTGAGCCTTTTCCCGTTGAAGTTCGCACCCGCCTCGGCTTTCACACCGTCCTGCCTCTTCAGCCTATTCCCAGGGCTGCGGGCAGGTCCCAGTCTGTCCTAGTAGTAACTTGGAGAGAAGAAAAAAGAGAACATTTTAATTTTCCTTCGCAAAAACAAATTACAGCAGACTTAATAAAAAGTACAATGAAAGTTGCCCTGAGAAGAAATGCCTTTCTTCTGTAAGAAATGCAAGAAGCATTTTCCTTACTCTGTGTGTCTCAGGCTGTGTCTGAAATAGAGAAAACTCAGGTCCAGGAGGGAGCTGTCTGCTTTCTGGTGAGCTAGTTGCTTTTGGGCAAGTATTAGGTAGGGACTTAGTATCTAGGTGGCATGTAAGTCTTTTTCTTTTGTAACCATCTAATCTGTTAATTAACAGATTGTTCCAAATCTGAACAATGTTCCCATTTACCTGGAAATAAAGTAATGATGGAGCACTGAAGGTAACCTTCAGTGATAAAAGCTCAAACTGCACTGAAGGATCCTGTCTGCAATCCTAGGACTCAGTAGGTTGAAATGACAGCCCAGGCAGAAAAGTCCGTGAGACTCTTATCTCTAAAATAGCCAGCAAAAAGCAAGGCCAGAGGAGTAGCTTAAGCAGTATAGCACCAGCCAAACAAGTACAAGGCTCTGATTTCAAGCTCTAGTATTGCGCCCCCAAAAGTTTAGCAATAATGCCAGCAAAAATATAGTTTCCACATTTATTAAGTCTCAACATGGTATCTCCCTATTGGGGAGTTTCTGGAAGTCATTTGCATAATGGTGAAACTGTAGTTGGGATTTCAGAGTTGGTACTGAGAGATTATGTTAACCTGTGAAAACGTGACTGAGCACCCTCCCTGGACAACAGTAGTAGAGCACATGGTGTGTGAGGTATTAGGAGATGACAGCAGCGAGTTCACTAGTGTGTTTCCTGTTTACCTTACAAAGTTACATGCCTTGCTTGCCACAAAATAGTTCAGAATCACATCATAGCTCAATCTGGCATCTATCTTGTCCAAAGACTTTGCTCAAATGACTGAGCCTCTTAAAGAAAACGTCGTTCAATCCTAAACAAATAAAATCAGTAGACTCACACTGTCTGCATAGTCTCATGCAGACAGAATTTAGTTCAAGTTGGAATCTGCTCGTGATAATTTTCATTTGTTAATGACTAATCTGTGGTGCCCAGTCTGAACACTAGTCTTAGATGTTGCTGTAAAGCTATCTGTAGATAAATAAGACTTGGATTCAGCTTTTCTTGGTTGTAGGGTTTGAACTTGCAGCCTGAGCACTGTCCCTGAGCTCTTTTGCTCAAAGCTAGGGCTCTACTACTTTGAGCCACAGCACCACTTCTGGTTTTCTGGTGGTTAATTGGAGATTAAAAGTCTCATGGACTTTCCTGCCCAGGCTGGATTTGAACTGTAATCCTCAGATCTCAGCCTCCTGACTAGCTAGGATTATAGGCATAAGCCACCATTGCCTGACAACAACCAATATAGATTATTCTGAATGCTTCAAACTATTACATCTCTTGACAACTTTTAAGAGCAAAACAAAATAAAGCTATTCTGCCTCAGAACTTAAACACAGAAGCCCTGTTTTTGGTCTACTGGCTTTACTTGTAAGTTTTGGACTCAAGACTGCAACATCAACTTTTACCTGAATTTGTAAACAGCCAACTCTACGGATTTCAAAATTCACAACAATGAGCCAAGTTTAAAAATAAATAGCTGTCTCTGAATTCCCTAGCAAACTTACTTTATATTTCATAATACATTATGAGATTGTTTTAAAGCTTTGTCTCTCTTTTGTAACGTGACTTTTTCCAGTATTTAATACTGTATTTGACATGACCACATTGGCTTCAGTTTCTCAACTCCAAAATACATTTCATCTCTGAAATAATAAATTTACTAATATGCCTTACATTGTTCTAAAACCAGAAATAAATTTTCACCTAATCACTGAGGATTTTATCAGATGTCTTGAGATGTACCAAGAGCCAGTCTATGGTAACATTTAGGTTGAAAAGCCTAATCCAGTCATTTTAACTCCGGAAGTACCATGAAGCTTCTCCGGGAAATAAAAAAGAAATCCTTAAACACTTGCTACTAATGGAATGTTTGGATATATTTTGCAGAACTCTAATTCGTAGCTGTCTCCAAAGATGACTACAATTTTTAAATTATGAATATATTTCTGGGGGCTGGGAAGGTGGCTCAGTGATAGAGCGCTTGCCTTGCATGCCTGAGGCCCTGGGTTGGATTCCTCAGCACCAGCACCACATAAACAAAAAGCTGGAAGTGGCACTGTGGCTCAAGTGTTAGAGCGCTGGCCTTGAGCTGAAGAGCTGAGGGACAGCGCCCAGGCCCAGAATTTAGGCCCCACGACCGGACCCAAAATATAAAAAATAAATTTAAAAATGAATATATTTTTGGCCCTTTTTCTATGCATTTATATTCATGGGTATTCTGCAAAGGTTAAGGTCCTGAATGTCAGACACTGATTTAAACCCTGATTCCACATGCACTGGATGCATTACTCTGGGTGAGACACTAAATAAGTCTTCTCCACTGTCCCTTATAACAGAAGTATGTAATTCTCAGGTTGTTTAGAGGACAAATTAATCCATTCACCCAAACTGCCTCAGGCACAAGATAAGCACAAAGTACTAGCTGTTATTTCCCCGTCCCTCTTCTTACTAACATAAACATTAGATTTGTGGATTGTCACCAGTGTTTTTTAATTCATTAATGTACATTGGAATTTCCAGTTTCAAATCTCATTTTCATATGTGCCTAGCTTCACTGACCCCAGTAGTTTTTGCCTTTGTTCCTATATGGTTTGAGCCGGCAGAGCTCCGTGAACTCAAAGTGGCCCTGGCCACCACAGCAGCCTGTGCTTGTCTTCTGAATCTCACACCTACTAAGCCAGTGGCTCACCAAAGATGCAGAGCAGTCTGGCAGCGACCACCACTCTGTTCCTTCACTCCCTCCTCCGAGCAACTTGAGTTGTGACCTCACTGCTGTGGATAAGGCTACCTAAGTCTAAAACCCAAATGACTGGTATGGCTACACGGATGAGGTTTCCTTTTGGAGACAAAACGGACTAGAAATTGCCACCACCTCATGCTGTTGTGTTCCCTCCGAAAGTTTGTGCTGACGCTGAACTCTAACATAGTGACAGGAGACAGCCTTCATGGTGTGGGTCTGTGGAGGCTCTGCCCGGAATGGACTGGAGCCTGGGAAAAGGGTTGCCTTCCACCCTCCATCCTTACAGATGCCAGACTGCAGTCTGTGAGCAACAAGACACCAAACCTGCGGGCACCTCAGTCTCGATCGGCCAGATCTCTTGAATGAGAATGCAAATCCCTGTCCTTGGATCACTCTGTATCTGGTATCTCACTACAACAGCACATACTGAGTACCTGTAGCCCCCAATATTGTGAACCAATTAATGATTAAGCTGAATCACCTCAAACCACCTTGTCACAACTGCCCCCCAAATGCAACAGCCCTGAAAGCTGTTCCACAGACATGTACCCAAAGTGAGGAGTCTTCCAGGGTGAACCCACGTTTACAATGCTAGACCAGAACCCGTGCATATGCACTTTGAGGAATTAAGGATGAGGAGGGCCTACCTGGGCATTTGGAACACTCTTTTTATTCTTATTTTTTCACTGGTAGATCTGGTCTTGAACTCAGGTTCAGGTTCTGGACACTGTCCCCAAGCTTTTTTTTTTTTTTTTGGCCAGTCCTGGGGCTTGAACTCAGGGCCTAGGCACTGTCTCTGAGCTTCTTTTGCTCAAGGCTAGCACTCTACCACTTGAGCCACAGTGCCACTTCCAGCTTTCCTGTTTATGTAGTATTAAGGAATCAAAACCAGGGCTTTGTATGTGCCAAGCAAGCACTCTACTACATTCCCAGCCCAGCACTGTACTTCTTGAGTCACAGCTCCACTTCCAGCTTTTTGTGTTTA